TTTTTTTTTTGATTTTATAATTTTACGCTTATCTTTTTTAAAATAATTCTAATTATTTTGATTACTACATTTTTTCATTGCTATTTTTTAACTAATCGATATTGCAAAGTATCCTCAATAAGACACATCATTTTTTTATTATTTCTGAAATCTTATTTTTCCATATTTTTCATTTATTGATTTCCTTACTCACAGATTTCCAAAAATTTGATGTTTCCATTTTCTGTAAAATTTCCGACCGTAAAGAATCAATGAAACGCATTGTACATAAATACTTTCAAATCAACAAGTCTAAAATTTATAAAAATTTAATTAGCCGAAATCTGAAAATTTTTATTGAAAAAATTGTTACAATAAAATTAAAAAAAAAAAAAAATTTCACATGTAGAAAATTTGAAAAATTATACGTGCAATTTTTTTAACGTATTTTTTTGCTTGCAATTTAATTGTTGAAAAAAATATATAAATATTTGAACGTCGGCTAACTTTAGTATCATTAAAATTTTACTAATTTAGCAAAAAAAAAAAAAAAAAAAGTTATTCATATATATACTTACGGTCGAGATGTTTGACAATTCCTCTCAAACTATTTCCATGAGCAGCAATGATAATTTTCTTTCCCTCTTTTAAATGAGGAATAATAACATCATTCCAGTATGGCAGAGTTCGCTTGATAGTCAATTCGAGAGATTCAAATTTAGGAAATTCATCAGGTTTAGGACCATCTTTGTAGCGCTCATCTTTTACAATGTTATCATAGTATTTATGATCAGCTTCCATGGGTGGAGGAGGAGTATCAAACGATCTTCTCCAAATCTGGACTTGTTCTTCACCATATTTAGCAGCAGTCTCAGCTTTGTTCATACCGGTAAGACCACCATAATGACGTTCATTTAAACGCCAAGTTTTAAAAATAGGAATATTTTCTTGGCCGATTTCTTTCAAAATTGTTCCAAGAGTAACTTGCGCTCGTGTTAACACAGAGGTATGTGCTTCATCAAATCGATAGCCTGAATCTTTGAGCGCTTTTCCAGCAGCGATAGCTTCGTTTTTACCTAATAATTGAAAAATAACAATAAAAAATTAATTCAAAATAAAATAAGTCAGACGAATCCTTTTATGATGAAATAGCCACAACTTTTGGCCGGGAATGGAATATTTTATTACATCGCATAACTTACCTTTCTCAGATAATCCTGCATCAAACCAACCACAAAATAAATTTAATTGGTTCCATTCACTTTCCCCGTGACGGACCATAACAATTCTGTATTTTGCCATTATTCTTTTTTTTTTTTAAATTATAGATACACAAAACAATCTCGGATGTTGCGTTTACGTAACTAACTTTTTTTTTTTATAGCCAGTGACAAAAAATTATCATGTGTTACATGCGTATAATAATAATAATTTAGTTTTAAGGAGCATGCTCTGTGACAGTGGTGAATATCTATTGACTAACTTACAAAATTTTATATCCACCAGGCAGCGCTAATCATCAACGCGCACAGAAAAGTCGAAAAGTAATCGGTTTAAAGTTTTAACTTGCAATGAAAATTAATTTAGCAGATATTTAATAATTTTAAGAATTTTGGTGACAAATAAATTATTGCAAAAAAAATTAGAAAAAAAAATGGACGTGTAGAAATCTAAAAAAATAAAAAATGCAATTTTTTTTAAAATTTGCTTGTTAAAAAGTTAAAAAAAATTCAAAAATGGTCAAAAGCTTTAATATATGTCATTAACGACTTTAATGTCATAACTTGTAGCCACTAATCCTGAATTTATCTTTAAATAATACTGATTTATCGCTAATTTTTTAAGCTTAATTATTTTATCATACCTAAGATAATCAATTCAAAGTATTATGAAAATTAATAAATTAGTGAATACTTTGAAATAAAATTGAAATATCATCTTTAATAGGTCTTCATTATCTATATAATTAAGAAAGTAAAGAAAATTTTATCTCCGACATGTTTATATGATAAAATGATTTTTTTAAATTTAATTTAGTATCATTGAAAAGATCCTGATCCCAATTTGTACCTTTTAAATTTTTCATATGCTTTTCAGCAATAGTTCATTTGTTATGATAAATTTTCGAAGTAGTTATAAATAGATTCGAATTTCGCGATAAACAAAGTTTGTTTATTTAAATGACACTGAAATTAGTAGACACTTGATAATTTTTTTTTAGCTTCTAAAAATGGAATTTTTTAAATAAATTTTGTTTGCTATAATTTATTTATTAAAAAAATTCTAAAAATGATCAGATGTCATGACATTAAAGTTAGCAGTCACTTAACAATTTTTTAATTTTTTTTAACAAATAGATTTTTTCAAAAAAATTATTGAAAAAAATTGGATTTTTTATTTTTAAAAATTTTTACATGTCAATTTTTTTTCTACTTTTTTTCGCCATGATTTATTTGTTAAAAAAATTCTTAAAATTATCAAATATCTGCTAAATTAATTTTCATTCAGATGTCTCTCAATTTCAGCATCAATTTTTTGTCCATATGAATGTGATTGCAGATCAAAAATTAATTTATATAATTAAGGAGCTGAGAAAAAATTTTGTAACGGGTATATCTTTATCGTAAATTGGTTTTGATATTTTTCAGCGATAGTCATTTATGATTTAAATAATTAAGAGAGTAAGGAAAATTTTGTGACGAACATATTGTTATTTTTAAAGGAATTTGTATAGTTTAATTTATTATCATTAGAAAGATCTTGACAAGAATTTGTGCTTTTTTATGGTTTTATATATATTTTTAGTGATAGTCAATTTTTTGTTAAGTTTTTGGAGGAGTTTCAAATAGTTTGTTGGTTCTATAAATTTATTCCGTTACAATTGTCCATTAAATTATTCGTATTTGATCCTGTCATAGCCCTATTATTTTTGAAATTTATTTTTAAAGTACCCGCAAACTATGTATAGTGTAAATATAAATATCAAAAAATCATTAAGCCAAAGTTTTCTTATTCATAATCCATAAATCTCGGCAATTAGTGAGTGCAGGTTGCTAGTTATTAATTAATTGAATTAATAAATAAATGACAGATGAAAACTATTATAAATAGTTAAACTATCCTTAAAAAAAAAAAAATAAAATAGTAATTGTTAATAAATTTACCTTTTTATTATTTTTATATTTCATAAATTTGAAATAATCACATTTTTAAATATATAAAACTAGCTGTTACCCGCCCGCTCCGCTGGGCACTATAGAATTGAATTTTGAGATCTAGACTTGAAATTCAATTGAAGTATTGTTTTGACTTGCACAGATTCCAAATTCTATCGGATTGGCCTGTACCTTTTATCCATGTCATCATTCTAGCGAATATCCATTGTAACTTACAATGTGCAATCACTATAACATTCCCGTGGCTTTCTCCAAAAAAAAAATAATAATTTTGGATTTACGATTTCAAGATTTGATTTTACGAAATCTCTTAAAATGAGTAGCCAAATTTCTTTTCCCCATCTCAAGTGTTTAGAAAATGTATTCATTTTAATCTTTTACATTCCCGCGATCCCATAATAAGAACAATTCATCGGTTATGTGATCAGCAATAATAAAATGTATGCAAAATACTCAGTCCGTTGACTATATAGCTACATGTAAAGTTGAATTTTAGAAATCTATGAAATCAATGACTTTTTCGCCGCTGCCAAAGAGACGATTGTTGTAAGAAAATATAATTATCAATAAAAAAGGAAAATATTTTAATCCGTTGACCTTGGGGGCCATCCCTGTAATTACCTGTTTCTCTTGAGATTCTATGAAATTTTATATCTGTAGAAAATATATTTGAAGAATATGAATTTTTTGACAACTATCACTCCCGCACTCCTATGTGAGAGAGAAATTTCATAAGATCCTATTCGAGATGATTTTTACATTATAAATAAAATATTCCAACAAAACTTCGAGCCCATGGAAACTATTGTTTTGAAAAGAGAGATTTTCATTGTTAACGCCTCCGCAGCCCCTTTTGGGGTTGGAATTTGATAAAATTCATTCTTAGCTGAACTTGACATACACGAAGACTCCCACCAAATTTGAAGTCTGTCGAAGTTACAGTTTGGAAATTAAAATTTGAGATTTTAACACCCACCCCCGCAATTTCTATCGGAAGTAAACTTTATTGAAATTCATTTTGAGATGATCTTTACAGGAGAAATAAAAGATTTCTACCAAATTTCGAGTTTTCAGAAGCTATATTTTGGAAATGAACATTTTTTATCGTCAACACCCACTCCCGCGATCCTTATTGGAGGTGATTCGTTGTAAAATCCGTTTTTAGATCATTTCTATATCACACATAGAATATTCCTACTAAATTTGAAGTCTATAGGAGCTATAGCTTGGAAATTAAAAATTTTAATTGTTAATACCCATCCCCGCAAAACCCTGTGAGGTGAGCTATCTTAAAATTCGTTCCTATATTATTTCTACATCTCTTACAGAAAATTCCTACCCAATTTGAAGTTTATTGGAGCTATAGTTTGAAAACGGGAATTATTTATTATTAACGCCCCCGCAATCCTCTTTGGGGTAGGATATCGTAAAATTCGTTTATAAATTATTTTTACATCACGTACAGAAATTTTATATAAAATTCCGAATCTGTAGGAGCTATAGCTTGAAAATTAAAAAATTTCATTGTTAATGCCCACCCCCGTAACCCCTTATGGGGGTGAGATATCGTAAAATTCGTTCATAGATTATTTCTACATCTCTTACAAAAGATTCCTACCAAATTTGGAGTCGATAGAAGGTATAGTTTAAAAATGGGAATTTTTCATTGTTAACGCCCCCGCAAACCCCTTTGGGGGAGGAATTTCCTAAAATCCGTTCTTAGCTGACCTCTACATGGTAAAAGTAATATCCCTGCCAAATTTCAAGTCTCCAGGTCTTATAGTTCCAGAGATATCGTGATGAGTGACTATCTATATCTATAGAAAGTCTCCTATATATATATATAGATTAGATATACAAGTACAATATTATTTCAAATTATATTCTCAGGTCTGATATACAATTTTATGTAAAGTTATATAGTCAATTGTAAATAATTTTCTGTAATTATATAAAAAATTTTCTCGAGTCTTAATAAAAATTTAATTAGAAGTCATTAGCCTGATTTAAGTATATAAAGCATTATTGTTACAAAAAATGATCTGAGAAAAAATATTTTAAACACTTAAAATTCGGTGTTGTTAAATGCATTAAATTATAATATTTACAACTTTATAAAAGTATTTATATTTATACAATAATTCCTTAATTTTTCACTGTAATTCGGCAATTCGTAATTTATATATATACTAAAAAAAAAAGCAATCATACTATTGTAAAGCTTTGCTTTCAAGACTTACTAGCATAGCAATTGTATAATGTTACAAATATTACGAATACTTTTTTTTCTCCTCCAATTGTTTATTTTTTTGGCTTTTGTTGATTATCAGTTAGAGACATAAGAAAACTATCTCCATTGATTAGTTTCGTGGTTCCAACAATAAATTCAACGTTAACTAAAACATTATTTATTTTTTAATATTTTTAATTAATTAAGAATAAGTTAATTAATAATGAAAATCCTTGTACTCACGATCTTCTTGTTGAGATAAAAATCTTAATGCTGATATTTCAGCGTAAGTGCAACCACCAATGAAGAATACCAAAACGAGTCGGGATGGTTCTGAATTAGAATCTTCACTTGTGATCGATTGCCCTAAAATTGATGATAAAATAATCAATATGCTTAAAAATATAAATGTGATTTTTCATAGTACGTAATTTCATACATACGTCTGAGATTAGGTATTTTCCCTTGTGAATCATTATTTATCGATGGACCAGGTAATAAACCTAAAATATCATTTAAACCTTGCCATCCACCCGGTTGGATTAAACGTTCTGTTAATCGTATACTTAGAGGCGCATACACTGAATGCACATAACTAATATCTTTTGGTGCGACTTCACTCTCATCTTCAACTGTAAGTCTTAAAGCTTTTCTTAAAACTGCATACTGCCTATTAGACTGTTGAACACGCAGTAAATTTGCTTTTTCGAGATTAGATAACGTTAAAATATGCTGATAACCATATGTCTGAATAATTTCTCTTTTATAATAATCAAGAAGTTTTGGTTTTAAGCCAGAATTAGTTAAAGATTGAATACAAATAAGCCTGAGAACTGTTAGTAAAGGTTTTTTCTGTGATATACAATCTTCGATGTATGAATTTGGTTTATCGGTATCAATACAATTTAGTAATTCTTGTTCTACTTGAAGGCGCTCAAGAAAATCATCAGAGTCTGTTACTTCTTTAACCATTTCAGCTATGGTTGTATCTAAATGATAATTTAATGAGTCATTGATTAATACTTGATTAAAATTATGCAAAAAATTAAAAAAAATAAAATTTGTATTTACGACGTGCTAAAGATTGTTTCGTTGCAAGCATATATGGTAACCGAGCAACAAATTGTTTAATTTCTTGTACGCTTTTATCTCCATGTCTTTCATCAAATTGAGATGATATAATTTTAGCTTTTTGACTTAAAATAGGGCCAACTCCATTGAAATTTCGATCGATCGATGTATTTTGAAATTTATGATATCTTCTTTCATTTGAATCGATCGAGACTACTGTACGTGGCTATAATTTATATAAAAAATAATCTTTAAAGTAGATATACGTAAATTTTCCTTTCTTGACATTTAAAGTATACCTTAATCTAATCATTATAGATTTATCAACATCTATAATTAATAAATATTTCTTCAACGCATTAAAAACACTTGAAACTTTTTTATAATATAAAATAGATAATACAAATTTAATAAAATAAAATCTAAAACTTAACTTACAACACAACAACACTTTTTACACTTTTGTACATTTATGAAGCGCTCTTGAGTAATTTTCTTCGTTTTTGATTTATTTTTCATTTGATTCTCATTATAACTTTCTTGTATGTGTATCGAATTACTTTTAACTTTATTTAAAGTTAAGTTTTGTTCGGAAGAAGAAATTATAGTTGGAATATTTGAAATAATTCCAGAAATTTTTTCCAAATCGTCTATTTCAAACCTATTGTTTTTATCAATTATACTTCCAAAGTCATTTAGATCTAAAGGATAGGTTGAACTTGTTTCATTTGAAGATACTATCAGCGATTCGATGTGTGAAAAGTTATCTTCAACATCTAGCATGTTACCAACCCTATTATTTTGGTTTTGAGAGTAAGCTTTACCGTTGTCATCATCAAGTTCCAAGCTAGAACCTTCGTTACTCGTTGCATCTTTACTAATGGATTTATTTCTGATAAAATTATATAATCTTTCTTCTTGTAAATGCACTGAGCTTTCATTTGATTGAAAGTTACTTGCATTAATAATAGCTATTTTCGGTATAATAATATGACTTAGAGATTGTCTTTTAAAAGAAGATATTCTGCAAGGTTCCGATTTTTCGTCGGTTCGCCACGTTAATGTTTGCCACGAAATGTCGCTGTTGCTTCGATATTTCTTCATCTTACAGTGATGCTTATATTGGTAAGTTTTTGGCCAGGAATTGAATCGGAATTTGATAACATTTTTCGAGTTTTGTTTCTGTTGTGCTTTTTGTTCATTCCGAATAAATTCTAACTTAGTTTTAAGAAGAGTCGGTGATACTGCCATCTTGAATGTTTTTTCATTGGATGATTTTTTTTTACTATGATTATTTTTGTGTTCGTAGTCTTGAGTATCTGGTTCCATTAAGGTCAAAAATGCACTGGGACTTGGACTATCCATGCTGTCCGGAGTATATGGATCATGCTCAATCATTAATGCGTGCAAAAGCTTAGGTGATGAATAGTCATCAGTGTATTGTAAATTTGAATAATTACTACGATAGCCAGGCAACATTGATAATAACTCCAAATAATGCTTGGGCACTTGAAAACACAAGTGTGGACATGACAAACAACAATTTATCATACCTGCATTCGAAGTTATCAAAATCCGCAGATAGACAGGCTGTAATTATGGGAAAAACATATATAAAAGACTTTATAAGTTTCTAAAAGTTATTTATATTAAATTTATTGTAATTATCGGCTATTGATAATTACACCACGTTTGACTGTATTATGTCATTGAAATATTATATTTTTCTTGAATATTTTTCAAATTAAAACAGCAATTCCAAGTAAAATCTGCATGAATTAATAAAAATTGTTTTTCTTATGAAAAATAATATATTTTAAATGGTAAATCTGTAATATTTATTTTTGACTTACAGGGTGGGTCATAAGTACATATCACGTATTTAAAAATAAACTGTAATTACAAAGGATTTTAAAAAGATTAAATTATCGCTTGTAACTTACACAAAAAATATAAGAAATTTATTTTTTTAATAATATGATATGAAGGAATTACGTGGGTTGAATTACAATACTAGCGTTGTTATTGAACTTACTTCGAATATATGACATTAATTTTAAGATGTATGGAACTATTTTACAAGCAATTTAATAAGGATCTATAAAAGACAATAATTGAGATAAAAATCGAGAAGTTTGTGATTTTAAAGCGTTTTCAATATCTGGCAGGGCTTATGGAATAGCAGTAATTACTTTTTTGTAAGAACTTTACGATTTCAATCATGTAATGATGAAGAAATTAATTAAATAACGATATTGGAATGAAAAATAAATTTAATTGCACAGTCTTATTATATTCAATAAAATTCTGGTTGATGAAGGAAATATATATATAATCTTTTTCTTTTTTGCCTAAAAAACGAGTCAGAGCGAAAATAAATACACTTTTCTTGTAAAGTAAAATTTGATTCTTAAAAAAAAATTTCAGTTTTAAAATGTAGTTCATTTTTTTTTACTTAAAGTTAACTTGACAAAACATAAAAAATATTTTTATAAAATTATATGATATTAAATTGGTTCACGACTAAGCAAATTTTTATCAGATTTATAAATCATCGTCACTTGATGATTTTAATTAAATTAATGATAAAAATATCATTTTGTATAGAGTAGTATTAAAATAAATCCTCAAATTGTATGTTGATTAATAGAACAAATGATGAATAAAAATAAAAAATTATGGTTGTCTCAGAAAAACTAAAAAAATCAATCTAAAGAAGAAAATTGTCTTGAGTCCGATTTTTTAAAATCAAATTTTCTTCAGATGTTGACGTTTTGTCTTTGAAACTACTAAATGTCGAGAGAATTATTATGATTTTTGATTGTTTTTACAACTTGGTTGAATGGAATAATAATAACTTTTAACAGCTCAAAATTCTAAAGTAACCAGCAAACAAAAGACAAAGTTACAAAGTTGAAATAAACAGAGTCAATTTGACTAAGACACACCAAACAAGCACGTTTCTACTCGCTAACTGAAAAGTATGTACAATTTGAACTGTCACTATTGTTGACACGATATTAACCGATCATTATTTTATTTCGGTTGATCTGGCTATGGAAATTCTGAAACTTGATAATTTGCTGCAGATATTGAAAAAAAAGTTTTTTTTTTGCAGTATAATCAGTATAAAACAAAACGAATTCAAAATCTTATACAAAAAAGTTATTTGTACATTTGTAATTAACTTCAAACCTCAAAAACTTAAATAAATTATTTATTTAAAAAAAATAAACTGCAATTATAACATATATAAAATCGAAGATTTAATGGAAGAATACATAATGGAAAAAAAAAAAAATCATGTTCAAGTCAAGATAAAATTTTTTAAATTATGGAATTGGTTTTTTGTTACGGTCGTAGGGAAAATAAGTGAAACAAAAAAAAACAAATGCACTAGAGGTTTAAATTTGAAATGATAAAAGACATGAAAGAACAAACAAAAACTGCATAGAATAAAACTAGATAGAGAAGTTTGTATTAGGTACCTTTGAATATTTAGATATTCATTCGAAAGTCCAGAAAAACAGGCTGCATCATAATCATTAAATGTTTAATCAGAATAAAATCAGAGATTTGTCAGTTAAAAAATGTTTTAGAAAATTGCATAAAATTTAGCAAAGTAACAAATAAAATAAAGAATAACAAATCAAAATAATGTTTTTCTTTTTTTATCATTTAATTTTATGTTTATTGCAGAGGAATAGTTAATAATAATAATTCATATTATTATTATCGTTCTCATTGTTATTGTGATCATCATATTAAAATAATATTCAAGTTTTACCTTATGGTCACCCATGCATGTATTTGCTCCAATGATTCCGTACTTAACCATATCAAGTGAATTCTGAAAAAACATAAAGATTAGAAAAAAAGAAAATTTTTTTCCAAAAATATTTACTTACAATTAATGATTTTGCTGGAGGACTTAATAGTATTCTATCACACCAAGCAGGTACTCTGGTCTGCATAAAATTACTTCCTTGACTAATATCCTCTTCGAAAGGATAACTTGGCACAAATTCAATAGGAAATTCAAATAATCTACCTTCAAAATCTTCAAGTTCACGGTCGTATTCTCGTAACTGGAAGATTCAACAATTTAATAATTAGTTAATGTTCATTGCATTGATCATTTACGAAAAATAAATAAATATTTACCCATTGACCACTATTTTCGGTAAAAACATGTCCATGTTCGCAATGAGAAAATTCTTTTTTACCTAATGTTAATATTAAGTTGTCATCTTCATTTCGGAATTGTAACTTTGAAATACTTCCTTTGGATGATAACTTACTTTCATGGGTATTTTCAGTAAGTTTCTGATAAATTATATAGATAAATAAATAATTTATTCAAGTATAAGTATGTAATTTAAATAAATAATTAATAAATCGCTTACTTTTATAACACCCGCTGTGTCGGTACGGAAATTAAAATCACCGAATAAAAAATATGGAACATTTGGATACTGATCATTGTGAAATTTATCTAATGTATGTTCCAATGCCTTTCGTCGTGTTTTGCTATACACTGATGGAAACTAAAATAAAAAAAAAATTATTATTTTAATGCTGGATAAATTTTCACTGAGACAAAAAATTTTTTTTTTTGAAAAAAATGAGCATTGTTGTAATAAAAAATTAATTTGTTAAAAATTTTATTTCTTAGCTGAATAAATCAAAATTTTTCTCACAGTAACTTATTTGTTGAAAAAATTTTCTAGATTTGGGAAAAAAAATTTTAAATGAGAATTCGCAAGTTCGTCTATCTAAAATTGTTTTTTTTTTTCAAATTAAAAATTTTTTGTTCCAACAAGAAAATTACTAAGAGAAAAATTTTGATTTCTTTAACTAAGAAATAAAATTATTTAAAATTTTCAACAAATTAATTTCTTGTCATAATTATCCCCATTTTTCTTCAAAAGCTATTTTTTCTCTCAGTGAAGTATATAGTTTTCACAAAAATTTTTCAAGATTAAGTACATACAGACTCCATAGCGATGAAATTACTCGCATCATGAAACAAATGAATGTTTATAAGATCGAATACTGTTCCACTTATACTCCATCGGGTACGTAAAAATCCTTTCCTGGACCATTTGCACTCGGGGAAGAAGTTTTGAGGAAATTTAGCTTTTTCTTTGGTTGGCACTGATTCGATATTTCCAGAATGCACTTCTTTGCCAGAAACAACCACAAATTTGTATGCTAAAAATGCAATACAATTGTTAATTCAACCTTTAGACATATTTATACAAATCTAGCCGTTCAAACCTTGAAAATCCCATATGAGGACGTCTTTAAGTGACTCATGAACGAAATAAAAATTTCCGAGGGCCTGTGAAATTATTTAAGATTAATATTTACAAAATTATTAAAAAAAAATTAATTTGCATTTACCGTAAAGTGTTCAGCAGAAGAAAAGTCTTCATCTAAGAATACAGTCACTCGGTCGAATAGTCTTAATTCTTCAGAAGACATCAGCAATCTAAAAAATTTTACAAACAGTACTATTTATTATTTGAATAAAAAAGTATTTTAATATGACCTAATACAACAATAACGGCCAGATAAGATTATTGATTTTTTTAGTTGACGGGACACATTAAGAATATTACGTTTTAAAAATAGTCTCACATGGTCATTTGCTATCAATGTGTAATTTTCTTTGAAAGTACTTAATAAACCGTAAACTATGCACACTTCAATATCCATTTTTGTAACCATTATAATACTTTTATATTAAATCGATGTATCTACACACATACTTTATATAATTATATATTAACATTTATTTTTGTGCGTTCATGAAAAAAATTTATTCCGCCTATAAAATGAGTATATTTCATAAAAATGTAAATATTGCGCATCCTCATGATAGAATTTTTATGGAGTTTATTAAAGGAACAATAATTGTACACCTTTACAGGAGATTGTGCTTTATTCTCACAAAAAAAAAGAGCGCGTTCTCGTTAAATCCTTTTTTTTTTTGTTATAAAGTACACTATTATGCTATAAAAAAATACACTTTATGATAAAAAGATACTTTGACTTTTACTAAAAATAATTATAGGAAAATAATCAATTAAAAAAATTTTCTCCAGGATGTCGATGCTAATTTTTTTTCTATTATAACTGTATCCATCATAAATAGAAGCTGAGTTGTGTTTTATTGTGAAAAAAAATTATGTCGAATACCTCAATACTAATGTATCTTGTTTTCTTGCAAATTAGAGTTTAAAATGAAATAAAAACGACAATTTTCATGACATTGAAGTTGACAAACACTAGAAATTTTTCTATAATTTTATAGCAATAAAATTGTTATGAAAAAAGTTAATAAAAAAATTCCATATGTGAAAACTAAAGAAAATTATTAATGGAAATTTTAAGAAGCATTTTTTTTATTGTAATTGATTTTTTATAAAAATTAAAAAAATTGACAGTTGTCAGCTAACTTTAGTATCATAAATTTTTATCTTTTCGAGTTAACCCTGATAAAAAAAAAGTATTGAAAAGTATGGGTTTTCTAGTCAATCCAATACTTTTCAATACTTTTTCCTTTGTCTCAATATTTTTTTTTATTCAGGGAATAGCAAGAGACGATAAGGGTGGGTCTGCAGGATCAACCGTTTTTCAAATTTATATTATGAGACTTCGACAAGAATCACAATCATATATAGTCATCTTATCTATTCAAAGAAGAAAATAAAATTGAGTATTTAATGCTCTATGTAAAATTACTTAAGAAGTATTAAAAGAATAATTAATAGTAATTGAATTTTCATAGTTAATCTGATAAAAAAATTCCAGAAATTAAAGGAAAATTTTAAGTTAATTAAAGATTTACCTGACAAAATTTTCTACATGACGCATACTCTGTTCATAATTTTTTCCACCCACTTCTTGGCAGTGTAATGCTATAAATTTGGGATCCAATCGAGATACTGTCTAAAAAAAAGAAAACAATCCAATTCACTTTATAAGTATAAGATCTTGTCGTATATGGTTGAATATGATTTTTAATCTTTCTCACTGATAAAAATTCCTCGGTCCAAGTTTTTAACATTAGTCCAGGCTGAAATTTAAACAAATAATTGTTACGATTATAAATATTTAAAAATATATTTGAATTGTTAAACTACAAATTACTTCACTGCAAGTAATTATTTAAATATCGAATCAGTTGACTAGATATAATTATAAATTTACCTCTTCAAAAATACTGCCAACATTAGCAGTGACAAGAAGAACGGGAATTCCTGACATTTTGTTCCGAATAATTGAATCTATTTTTTTTTCTTATGACTGATAAAACATCAATATAAATATTTTATTTTAATATATATCTATATATTAATACGTAGTAATAAATATTGATCACAATTCGGAGATTATTATTTTAGCAAATCGATAAAATTAAATGCTTTGATAAAATTTTTTAAATACTTTTATCACAATAAAAAAATAAATAAGGAATTGCAATTAAAAAAAAAAAGTAAAAATATATTTTATTAATTTTTATTTATTTAACGTGAAAATTCGAGTGAAAGTTTGGCTGTAGTCACGGTTTTTAAAAAAAATTTTTTTTTTTATAATAAATCACGAATTTTTTAAATTTACGATAAAAATTGAACTAAAAAATAATCAGCCACTTGAGGACGTAATTCCTCACTTTCATAAACTTGTTTAGTAATAAGTAAGCGCATTACTAATTGGTTAGAAAAAAAATATTGAACGAAAACAGTGTTATTCACTTGCTTACGCGACGAGAATCAAATATGTATATAGTGTACATTAATGTATATCGAAAAACGCAACGCGCAAGAGCTAAGAAAATCTAATGTATCTGTTCATAATACATATAACTTTTCGTAGGAAATATGAAATTTAAAAATGTGTGGGTAAACTACAGAAATATCTGCTAAACAGAGAGGGAGACCACGCCTACTTCTCTTGTACGTCAATAGTCAGTGACGTAAAAGTTACAACTTCTCACTCTTTTTAACAATGTAAAGACAGAGATTGCAATACGAATACTAACACTGTCAAATTTTAAAAATATAACCTGAAAAGTATGATACAATTCAATAGTTCTATGCCTAATTGGTATATTGTATACAGACTATCCAAAAAATTTCAATTAATTATGACTGTAATGTTGATTTTTTTACTAATCGGCATCTGTACTGCTGAAAAAATTGTTACATCCAAAGTTTTTGTGATTCCTATTGGGCCTAAAACATTTAACTGGACATCTGATGGTATTTTTAATTTTCATCATCAATTTGTTGTTATCTATGATTTTGATCTTTATTTTACTGATATTTTGTGTTTTATTTTTTATAGGTAATAAAAATACATTTTCGTATCAAGCATCACTGATGAATGCTCCTGATTTACCACCATGGATTCACTATACATATAGTAATTATCACCACAAGGGATTTCTCTACGGTGTTGCACCAAAAGATCAAGGAGATTTTAAGGTTTACATAACTAAATATTTTTCTTATTAAATTAATTAAATAATTGACTTTACTACATTGATATATAGTTGGAAATTGTTGGATTGAACAAAAAAAATTATGAAACCAGCTATAAAGTTATTGACATAAACGTTGAAGAAAAAAAAAATTTAACGACATATGAAGTATACTTAAAAATAGACAATTTAAACATTGAACAGACATTTGATAATTATCGGATGGAAAATCTTTTGAACGTTTTTCGGTAAAATACAAGTAGTATTAGTATTTGAAAGGCTACAAGAGGACAAAAATAGTAAAAGTGCCGTCGGCAAGTATTTTATTAAAACTCTGAAAAGTTAATAAAACGAATACTGATCGTTACCCTTGTTCTGAAAGTAACCTACATTTTTATGATTAAATCTCTAGGGTATTAACTACTACATCATAAAACACAAGTCCAATTGTTTCAGACCTAAACAGTGGTAAAACTCAACATTTTAATATCTTCTTCATACTGCTTAAAATAAGCCCCTTTGTCAAATTTATCTACCCCTAACTCTGATAAAAATTTCTTTATTTTGACAATAGCGTATGGAATTTTAAGGCACATTCCTACGCTACATAAGGTAAGAGCCCCAGCAGCTGCTCAGGAACCAGTACCTGCTTACTCCATGTATTTGTATATATATATTTGTGAATATATATGTACAAATACATAGAGTGAGCAGGTATTGGTTCCTGAGCAGGTACTGGGGCTTTTACTTTAGTAGACATAACTATGATGAAGAAATCTATCAATAAGAGTTTAAATCTAGACTTAAAATAAAACAAAAAAAACTTTTGTTTTACGATCAACATGTTAGTAGTGTTCTGACTCATTTTTTTCTCTCTTATATTTTTAATGTTCTATTTTTATTATTCAACATAATTTTTTATGTATTGAAAGATTTTTAGGAAGAAATACAATTTCTTTACCCATGATCGAACTAATTTCAAAATTTTTTGTGAATCAAAGTATGATTATTATTAATATTTAAAAAAAAAAAAAGAGTTCTGATGGTGCGTTTCTCACAAATGTTTGAGGGAAAAAAATTTTTTAATTTCATGAAAATTCATATCTCAAAAGGGAGTGATCAAAAAAATTTGAAAAAAGTCATGATTGCGTTTTCGATTGATCTTAAAAATACAAAATTTTAAGTCAAATCAGACAGTGAAATTATTCACTTTCCGTAGAAGGTATACTTATAAAAAATAAAAATTAGAAAAACGGTTCACCCTAAAGGCCATCCGTGCAACTTCCCGCTAATTTCATTCCTGGGCGCTTAAAATTGTACTTATTTGACATTTTTGAGATTTTTAAGCTCAAAATATAATTTATATGATATTTTGAGCTCGCTGAGTTCAAAGAAATATTTCAATGCATTTGAGCTCTCCCAGCTCAAAAGTCTGATAGAAGTTTCATAGAACACTATTTTTGGAATTTTCAAACCGCAATAACTTTTGAATGGATCAACCAATTTGCACGCGGTTCACGCCATTCGACGCAGTTTTATCATCTTCATAAGTTATTTTCAGGTTTTAATTGATCGAACCGAAAATTTCGGAGTAATCCCGAAAAAACACTTTTTTCGGTTTTCTTTCGTTCACGATATCTTTCGAACGAATCAACCGATTTTGACCGGATTAGCGCCGATCGGCATAGTTTTTCAAGCTTAAGGGCGGATTAGTTTTTGAAGTTAATCGATCGAGCCGTTTAAAAGATATTCCAAAAAAACCAATTTCAAAAATGATTTTTTTCTTATTTTTTTTTGAGATTTTTCAAAATTTCTCAAAATCTATCGGTCCGAATCGGTTCAAATTCTCAGGAAATCTAAGTTTGACGAAGCCCTTTCGAATGGCACCAACCGCGATGAAATCGGTTCAACCGTTCAAAAGTTATAAGCGATTCACATACTTACACACACACACACACACACTCATACACACTCATATATACACACACACACACACACATATACATACAAACATAGTGACAACCTCGCGGGGATAGTCAAGGAAGCTTCCTGTGACCTTCAAACGTTGAGATCTGATGAAAACTCGATTTTTGCAAAACGGGGTGAAAACAATAACTTCCCGATTTTTGAAAATCTGAGATTTTTAGCGGGAAGTTAAAAAAAGTACTATAAAAAAAATACACTTACCGAGAAAATATGTTGGACAGAGTGTTTAAAGCTTATTATATTGATTGGAATTTAACATTAACATTTTCAAAATGTATCAAATACTTGTTGGAAGCATTTTTATTACTTTCATTTCTCTTTAGCTTTTAATATAAAGTTTCCGTAGAAATAAATACATTGAAGTAAATGAGAATTCCTTTTCCTTCCGTAGAACTGAGCTATGGACGAAAGCTAAAGATTTGCATATAACTTATTTAGCATCAGCGGTTGAAGAAGGTGCACGACTCCCATTGAATCCGATTGAACCTGAAGGGTAAGCACTTTTATGTTTCAATGATTTTTTCTCATTGTTTTGGATCAAATCAATGATTGTGCTATAGTTATTTCATAGAAAAAAATTCATCCAATTAAGTAATAGCAGATTTTAACATTATTTGACTAATTAACTACACTGCGCAGTTGATAAAATTTTAGCGCTTTCACTTATGTATGAAAGAATCATATAAATGTTTCCTAGTCTTTTACAAGTTTTGAATTTTCAGAAATATGGCTCGTTTACACTAAAAATAATTAATGACTGTCAATCATGTTGATAAGATCAGCTGCTTTTAATTTGAAAATATACCGTCAAACAATCGTGTTTTATCATCTTATTATGAACCAATATTACTCATAGAAGGTACAATTTTACGTCACCAAGCATTAATCATTGAAATAATGCTATCTACACTTTTCAATTTCGTTTAAAGAGTCGTAAAAAATATAATATTACTGAAGTAGTCAGTAAAATGAAACTAACACGCATATAATATTGTATACATATAAATATACATCATTGAATTTGTTCAACTAAATTTATTATAAATTGAAATTAAGCACATTGTGTTTAATCACATAATTTAATTACAGAGTCGTTTTAAAACTTGGTAGTACAGTGCAATTTTCTCATGACTTGAATCATTTTGAAGAAGAATTGAGACCGTTGAAAATAAGATCACCCTGCCCGAAAGATTTTAAAAGAAGTTCTAGAGAGAGAATTTTTCGAGATGCTGGATTTGTTTTGGATTGGTGTTCTTTTAAATTAGTAAAATTATATTGGATAATATTGCTTCAAATAATAGAATGGTGAAAATAATTTTGATATTTATAGATTTCAGAAAATCATAGTTTACTTCAAGAAAGTGCAAGACGAGAACCAAGTATGAACGTTATTGGTAGATCATCATTAGAAATACCAGAGCATGTAGAATGGCTATGGGCAAGGCCAAAGAAATCACTTATACCTACGAGAAGTTATCTCAAAGAAATATTATTGACCGTATTTACTTCGTTAAGTTTGCTCTTGGTACTATTTTCTCTGTTAAGCACAGCATTCTGTTTTCATCACATTAAATTGTAAGTTTTTTTTTAATTTTGTTACTTTCAATATCAATGAAATTTATTTTTCTATGACAATAATTAGGAGGGTGACTCATACTTTTTCAATTACTTCAATTACTTAGGATTAAAATAAATGAAATAATCAGTAAGAATTAAAAATATAATTTGCTCGTTTAATTTTAACAAAAATTTCCGTCGGGATATTTTATCAGAGATTTTGAAATTTAATATTAAACTTCCTGATCATGAAAAACATATATTGCTTCTACATTCGATAATTAAATATTTAACTTCATTTTATAGAAAAGATCCGGTCTCCAAAAAGTATTTTTATGAATTATTTAATATTTATCAATTGGATCATAATCAACGGAATAGGTAAAATTCACTTTAAATATTGCTAAATAAATTTTGTCTTATTTTACAACATAAATCTGAATCAATTAACATCATTGTTAATAAATTTCTCGTTTAATATTTTAATATTTGCATGGTAAATATTTTCAAGTCTTTAAAGTACTTTAAAGTATTACCCAGGTAGAAAATTACCTGAATAGTGTAAGATGAAATCTAACAACTAATTAGATTTTAACTTAGCATGAAATGCTTTTTCCGTAACCTTGACTCAACTTCTTTGCTGATAAAAATGACACTATTTTATACTAAACAAGGAAAAAAATCATCAAGTATCGCATTCTTTCATAATCTTGAAGTCGGTGTTACTAAAACCATGCTAAATGATACTAAAATTGATTGAATGTGATTTTACCTACTTTTCATTGCTCGGACGTAAAATAAAAAAACTCACTCTTTCAGCCTTTCAAATTTTCTTTTCTAAATAAATATTAGTAAAGCTTTTATATTTTTAACAAGTTTTAAATAAACCAAAAACTTATGAAAGTTTCATAACTTCCAGATTTTTTTTAAAACAAGCGTACAACTTATGTTTATGCTGCCAGTATAAGCAAAATAACACTTTTTTTTTCTTCCAATTAATTGATGATTTCTTTAGAAAAAAATGACTACTTTTTTTTGCAAAATAATTTGGTGTCTTATGAATATTAAAATCTTTGCAATTATCATTGGGATAGTTTGGATTATGTGAGTAATAAATTACCAGATATTAAAGATCAAAGAAAATTATATTACTAATTGAAGTTTTGTTCAAATAGTATATGTATGATAGAAACATTTCTAGTCGTTACTTTTTTTCTCATCTATTTAATTAGCATAAACGAAGATAAAATAAAAAAATAACTAGATGAACAAAGCAATTCTTTTTAATATCCATAATACTATACTTTTCTATTAGACCAACTAAGAAACTACCGCCCGTTGAAAACGTTGAGAAAAATGGAGTACAAATGGTTCATTATGCTACTACTCAAAAGGGAACTTTACGTTCTCTTACCGGATTATCCGCTAATCCAGATGATTTATTGTTACAAAGTTCAAGGTAACTAAACAAATAGTCGTATTTATCATCAACTAACTTTTTTTTATCTTAACATTATTTACTATGTTAATGCTTAGAATCAACATAGAACGCTGTAATCCTTACATTCGACCGAATCCTCCTCCATACAATGGTCCTAACAATATGTGAGTTTGTTTAATAAAACTAATACAATTAATCTCGAGTTAAAATGACAAATATTTACAATCGTGTAAATTATACAGGGACTAATTTTAAACATTTTCTATTTTAGTGGAACTTTACGTGTGAATTTTTGACTACACGAAGAGCCAGCTAAAACGTGGTTTTGCTGAATGCCATCAACTACAAACAATAGATCAAAATAACAATAATCGCATGTTACTTTAATGTGAAGTTGAAGCTGACGCATCGTTAAATCACGAAATATAGAAGGCATTTCTCGTCAAATCCGACAGTTTCTAGAATTGTTATTTTCGATTTTCTTAATTTTTCGAAATTTTTTATACATCTTATTAGTAACGAGTAATCAAAAAAGTTTCAAAATTTTCCAGAAAGAGTCTTTGAAGGATACTAAAAAATGTCAAAAAATTGAGAAAAGAAAAAATAAATATTCTGGAAACACGGTCCGACTTGGTGCAGAATAGCCTCCATAGACACTGGCTCAAAAAACAACTATTAAGCATACATATTATTCTATTAATTGCTCCAGTTCCATTAGAGAAAACTAAATTTTCACTTTTATTTGATTTCTCATCGTTAGGTTTTTGATACATCTTTTTTCGTAAGAATCGATGTATGTATTTTATATACCACTCAAATTTATTTATATAATTACAAATATTAGTAAACCGAAAATGATTAGATTTAGATTTAGATTTTGTTTATTTTATGCCAAGGCACAGGCCAAATGGCAATTTCAAGTACATATATATTACATATGATTAAATATATGAGGTTATAAATGTGAGTACATAATATATGGATACATAAAATATTGATAGAAGTATATTTTTTGCTTTTGATGATGCAATAAAAATTTAAGTTTAAAATGCATTTAAAGTGAAGGATAATGTAAGAAAAGAAAAGCTAAAAGATATAAACGAAGAAATACAGTGTAAAGATCTGACTTGATTTGATTTGATTTGATTTATATTCATTTTCTTTTTCATTTTAATTCAACTAATGATATTTAGATAGTAATTTATAATAATTTAAAAAGTAAAGAGGCTCAACCTTGAGCGAATAAGTTCAAACTAATTATCTACATTTAAGAAATAGTCAAACGCTTTACTTTTGAAGACTTCTAAACTACTAGAGTTTACAATGTCACTCGGTAACTCTTCCCAAAGCTTGATCACTGTTACGATGTAGGATTACGTAATGAGATAGCTAATAAAAGCCAACAAAATCAAGGGATGACAATGACTTCGTGACGTTGTACTAGGGCCTATCGCGTGAGGCCTTTATGAAGAGTGGCGTCGGAATGCCACTGCATAAGTTTTTTATGAAGTTCATACTATAGTCACAATATCGCAAACAATCTTAGTTTACGTATGACCATTTATATATTTTTAATATTATACGTCAAGTCTTTTATAATTTTTTGAACATGATTTGAGATAAATTGTTGTCTCACATCTTACATTTTCGTTTTTAATACGAGTGTTTAATTTTAATTACGAGAGTTTAATTTTTTTTCTTTTCATTTTGTTGAATATTATTTACTCGAGAAAATATGTACTCTTATCATCAAGTTACGATAGGCTTCCAAATCTTAGAAGATTTTTATTCATTTTGTATTGAATTGAGGAGCAAAATAAAATTTTATTTTCATTCGATTTCAAGTTAGCAGATGTCCATTATCATCACTTAAAATTGTAAGAGAAAAAATGAAATTAATCTATATCTAACATCTTTTTCATACTTATGTATGCATTAAGTATGTACGAACTTAAACGATTTGTTATAGTTTATGAATGGAACAGAAAGAAAATCAAAGTGATTCCATAAAATTTGTTAAATGCTAAGTATTTCTTAATTATACGTGAATACTTAAGATGGGTGCTTTTTTAATAAATCTAGTCATATCTAAACAAAGGAGATATTTAAACTCAATTATTTTTTTTAATCTAAGCAGATTCGATTAGGCTTAAGTCAAAGTCGCCTAATTGCTTTTTTTCTTTTTTTTTTTAGTCATAATTAAAAATCGATAGCTTTAGTGGAAACTTTTACAGTTTTAAATGGTAAATAAAACTTTTATATATTATATATTGAACTATAACACATTGTTTTATAATACTGGTATTACAATTTTCATTTCTAATGTTTCGATGTAGGCAATTAAATTGAAGAGGGTAATTTTCGACCGACTTTAGAGAAAGCTAAAGTTTGTTTAGCAAACCACGGATGCTTTTAATTAGCGGAAAAGCTTATTAACAATTTGCATTCGTGGTAATTTTAATCTTACGATAAAACTTTATTTAAGTTTTCAGTATAGAATTTTTTTCTCGTTCAGTTGTGAATTATAAATAACCCTTCCGTTAGTAGTGCACTGATAGAAGGATTTGTTTAGTTAAAAATATTTATTAATATTTAACAAATCATTTATTAGAGACCATTTTTTAGTATTAAACAAATATTTCTTAGTATTTAAAAAGACTTATGAATATTTATAATAAATGAATATCAGATTTATTAAATAAAAATAAATTCTTCTATCAGTGTGTCTCTAGTCATTTACGTTGCATTAGTTTATCATTGACTAGTTTCTAACACCGAAATTTAGTATCAATGTAGATATCATTAAAAAAAAAATCTGTAATATGGGAGGAAACACGATTTCAAAGTATAAATGAGATACTTTGTCTACAATTGACTGGAAGCTTCAGTCAACTTTGGATACTAGTCGAAATCATCGTGTTTCATTCCTTGCCATAAAATATACTGTATGTTCTTTATTTTAAAAATTATATTTATAATATAAGTAGATCTGTATAATTCTAGAATATTGTATAATATATGTTTACATTAATAAATATATAAATTAAAATAACTAAATTGCAGTTGTTTTAAATTTTAGTTAAAAATAATACTCTTTCTTCATTTAGTGCAATTTTTAACTTGCTTTTTTTTGTACCTATATGTAGTTTCTTCCTAGCTAACAACGGGGCTTCTAAGATTTGTTTACCATGTCAAACTGATCTTAAAGACCTTGTAAGACGGTATATTGCTGACTGGGTTGTGTACCTAGCAGACCATCCTTTTTTAGCCCGTCAAAATGTCTCTGACAATGATGTCTATGTCAATTAGTCTCGTCAAAAATGACTTAGGCAAAATGTCTGTGCACTAATAGTGCGGTCAAGTTAGTCCGAAAGATAGGGGGGTACCCTTACATAAATTGCCAAGAAGCTAAAAATTTACATGAACGTTAGGGATATCATTACAATGAAATCGTGAAAAATCTTCATCAATCCCATGTGTACAAAAAATTTTATACAAGGTCAAAGTTTGCGGAAATGGGTTTTTGGATTTTTTAGCGAAATTGTTATTTTATGATAAAAATAGCTCAGAAAAAAATTCTAGATCACGCAATTGTCTACAAAAATTGTCCTTACACGTTTTCTTCTAAAATACATTATTTCTGAGAAAAAGCGATTTAAAAATTTACTGAAGTGTTATTTCCCATAATATGCATGACTACGCTGCCTATTTATCACGTTACTAAAATCAAAAGGGCGTAATGCATTTGATTTTTAAATACTCAAAATGACAATACTATGTATCTGCATAACTTTACCTTATATAGAAGTTGCAAAAAACAAAAAAATTTTTTTTTAATTAAAAAATTCATATTTTTGAAAAAAAGAAAAACCCCTTTCCAAAAATTTCAGGATCTTTCAAGATCAGTACAAGGTATCATACAAAAAAAATTGAGCGAAAATTTTAATGGCGCTCTTCATTTTTGACGATTTTCAAAAATTCAAAATTTGACAAATATGGCATTTTTTTCCTAAATATTTTTTTTTCAATAGCCCCAAGTGTCCTCTTTCAAACAAACGAAAGACAATTCCTGTATCTATAATAGCATTCGAGATATTGCAAAAACAAAATTGAAAAACTGGAAAAATCGCGAAATTTTGAATTTGCATATCTTTCGAAAAAATTTTTTTATTTTTTTTCCTTTGGCAGAACTTCGTTTTATGATAAAAGAAAACTTCTGACCAAAATTCATCCAAATCGAAAGGGGTCGATTCCAACTATTGGTCGATTTGACATGGAATGTCCCTTTTTATTTTACTTTCGTTGTTAATTTTTAAAAGTCTGTAAAAAAGTCAAAAAAAAATCATCGAGTAAAAGTCGATTCTAATCGATTCAAGAGAGGCTCAACTCGATTCTGAAAAGTCGATTATTTTCAGATAAAAGTCGATTTTTCACTAAAGTCAGACTCGACTTTCGTATCCCTAGTTCTATCTTCCTCTCTTCCCAGTCATACTCTGTGACCAAGGAAGCTCTTGCTCTTAAAGCCTGGAGTCTGAAGTTTTCCGGTGCTCTGGTTGCGTCGAGGATCTTCCTTATTATCCAGCTCACAGCCGTATCATGCCTCGTAGGATGCGTTTGTCTCTCACATGCAGAGATGACATGATACGCTGTCTCGACGTTTGGACATCCCAGCCTGCATGGTACTCCTCTCAGTGCCCCAAGGTCATGGACCTGCTCCTCAGCTGCTTCAAAGATTCTCCTCGCGATCCAGGCCTCCATCTTGAAAGAGTTGTATGCCGGGAATTAGATGCACTCCCCTTCTTTGATTACGAGCCTCCCACAGCTCAGCAATCTCTATTTATCAAGCAGCCAATCCACCTGCTGGTCTGATACTCTACGTGCCAATCTCCTGCAGTAGTCTCCAAAGTCTTCCTCGGGTAGCCTTTCTGTCTCCTGTCCTGCAACTCCATACATCGCTATTACCGAGTCCGCGTCGGTCAGCGGATTCCTCTATCCTCTCTTGGCCAGTTTTTCATACGTTCTCTGGGTCTGGCTCAGTTCAGGGTGTGATCTTAAATAACATCCTTTTTTTACCATCACGAGTTCGACCTCCAGCCTAACCGACTTCAAGTCAAGTCCACCGAGTTTTGCCGGGATGTAAGTCAACACCCTCGTTGTGGTCAAGCTCTTCAACTGTTCCTCGATCAAGATCTTGCGAATTAGCCCATCGATGTCAGCACATTTCTTCAGTGATGTTGCTCTGAAGCTACCAAACATAGTAATTTAGTAAATAAATAAACTTTATTTGGTAATTTAG